CGAGATTTACAAACTTTACGTTTCGTTCAATTTCGCAAACCAATCGATGAAATTTAAATAAGCTGATTTGCTTGGAAAAATACTTTGACCAAAACTCTACTTCGCGGTTTAATAATTTCTTTAATTTAATTTAAATTTATAGGACTTCATCGTAAAAATGAGAAAAATTTCGTTTTTTCCTTTTTAACAGCGAAAAATAAATTCTTAGGATTTTTTACTCTTCAGCATGCAACATACAACTGGCCATGCGTAAAAATTTCTTTCTGGAGACAAATTCCAACTTTTTGAAGAGTTTGGCCTTTTAATTTGTTTATAGTTCGCGCAAACGCAGGGTGAACTGGAAACTGCATTCTTGTATATATAAAAACTTAAAGAAAAAATTATTGCATTTTCATTAAATAAGTATTTGTTATTTTAATCATTAAATTATTTTAAAAATGGTAGGAGTATTTTGTATGTTAAATTATAAAACATTTAACTTTTCCAAAAAAATTAATGAAAATTTATTGTACTTAGCTCTGCACCCTAGTAAAACCAACTGCACTGTGTACCTGCTTACATGTTTGCACTTCAACCCAAAATTTGGTTTCGATCAGTAAATGTATGACTATTTTAGAAGATGTGACTGACAGACGGACAGACTAACGGAAGTGTCAGAATTGTATATATAGATAGATTATTAATGCAAGTATCATTTTGGATTATTACTAATAAAACCTTAACGAAGTAATTAAATATACCGAATATTAATTTCATTTGAATTAGATTAAATTGAAAAAGATGTTAATAGAATAAAACCTTTTTTTAGTAATTGATGAAGAAAATATTATTTCAATAAGTAAACTGGCCCTGTCGGCTCACCACTGCACCTCTGCATTATTCCCGCACAATGAGGGCGTCCTGGGTATGACGATAAACTACATCCGCGTCCAGGGTAAGACGATAAACTACGTCCAACAGCAAAGTCTCTGATCAGGCATCTTTGAGGAACGTGGAACCTCCTCTTAATTGCTGGTGTTCCCAGGTCTACCCTGACCCGGGGTGGTAGCACCTGTTACGGTCCCAGCTATGGTAAATAGTTAACCCAGAAACTGAGGTAAAAGACATTATAAAAGTGTAAAAATAGGTTTTAATACCAGAAATACTTTGTAAAAAATTATTACCAGAAATAAATTTTTGAAGAAAAAAAAATATTATCAGCAATATGTTTTTGAAAAAAAACTATTACCAGTAATACGTTTTTGGAAAAATAATATTACCAGTAATACGTTTTTGAAAAAATAATATTACCAGCTATACATTTTTGAGGAAAAAAATATTAACAGAAATAGATTTTTAACAAAACAAAAATATTACCAGAAAAGAAAGAAAAAAAAGTTGTCGGCATTAAATGACCCATTGAAGTTGATATGCAGTAAAACAAACCAAACCAAACCAATAAGTGAAACTAATCAGTTGCTGAATTAGTTTTTACTATTAATAAAAACATTAAGAGATTTTCTACTACATCTTACTTTGCTCTGAATGTAGGACGATTATTCGGCTCGTCTAAATAAATCACCTAACGCACTTACAGGCTTTCAAAAGTTAACATTACAAACATCTACTATATCTAAGGAATGAAAGATTTAGTTTTCTGTGGAGACCAGTTTTGAAAGGTTATGACTGGTATGAAGACTTAAAGGAAGACGTCTGATTTGGAAGCTCATGTTACCAAAATGTACTCAAAAGTGAACAGTCATTTCAACACCGAGACAGCAATAATGTCAGCAGACGGGACATGGGACGGAAGTATCGGATATTGCATTTTAGTGACACGATTTTTCCAGACTACTTGACGATAGAATATGCATATTACAATTCTCAGCCAATAATATTCTAAGAAAGTCTCAGATTAAGGACTAGAGTCTATTGTTGGATTACTCCACCAGGGGACTTCTTTTCATGCCCGATATACATATATATATATATGATCGAAATAAAAGTATAAAATTTAATATTACAAGACATATTAAAACAGTATTAAATAATATAAATAAATAAATATATATTTTTTTTTTCAACACCTATTCTTATTGTACATTCTGTTTTAATTTTCAAACTTCCTGTTTGCCTGACGAGCGGGAGCGAAAACCGGCTGTACAATAAGCCTTGTTGTTGAGTTTTTTTTTTTATTATTATTTAATACTGTTTTAATATGTCTTGTAATATTAAATTTTATACTTTTATTTTCGATCATTAAATTTTGTACCTTGTAAAAATACCTTTAATATATATATATATATATATATATATATATATATATATATATATATATATATATATATATATATATATATATATATATATATATATATATATATATTAGCAGTATAACCTGTCTTCAACCGGGTCTTTCATTACTGGGAATTTTGCTGTTCAACTGGAGCAGTTTAAGTTTAAAGTCAATCCACCCGAAAATCATATTAGTAACAACATTTGGGTGCAACTGGGGCACATCCCCAAATGGGGGGGGTAACAACTTGAAGGGGGTGCTGAAAAGGGCCCGTTTTTGAGTTTTCAATCTTATTTCAGCCTCTTATTTCAGCAGGTGAAGAGGCGTTTCTCCTCAACTGTTGAATCCTTTGATCATCATTTTCAGCCTCGCACGCAGAAGCGTTCACGCATGCTCTTCTGGAAAGCCGATGGCTACGTTGATCTTCGGACTCAGTGGCTCTGATTGAAGCCTCCTGAAAGGCATTTTGAGACAGGCAAACTGAACATTCTAAAGACGATTCGTTATCTCTTATTCGCATGGCGGATCTAGGCAAGTTATTTTCTTTGGTGGCATGTCTTAGGCAAGTATGAATTGTCAAATGGAATGCGTGGGCAAATACCAGAAGACAACTCTGTAAAACTACAGAAATCACAAAGCTCGAATAACTTTAGGAAAGGTTGGAAAAATAAATATTGATTAATAAAAAAGCAAGCTTAATTATTACTACGGTGAATGCAATGCAAATTCTGTCAGAACAATAAAAAAAATCAAATTGGGAACGGCTATAAACGACAATGAAAGCAATGCTTTAAAATTGTAGTAGTAGGCTTTATGCAACGGAAAAGGTAACCTCACTTGAGAGAGATTAATACGTGGCCAAGAGAAGGGGAATGTGTAAACATGGCTGGACGTACAGAAGTAGAAGCGGAATTAAGTGGTATCAATGAGCTGAGGACTACGTAGGCAATCAGTATGACATGGCGACATTTGATTGGACATGTAAAGGAGCTTCGTGCAGCCAATGAGCAACTCGAACAGGTGTCGCGTTCCGAAAGTCATGGCGTACGCGCGTGACACAGCATGTGACACAGCACGTGTTGCAGGGCCACACATACACGTGTTGCTGGACGCACTAATTATCAAGGTCAGCATCAACCGATGGACAACGTGCGGAGGTGTGAATCACACCCACACAGCATAAGCTAGGATTGGATGGTTATGTATGAAAAAGTAAATTAAATTTTGCCTTTGATTTTTGCGCAAAGTGTAAATAATCAGTTTTTTTCGGTTTTTCGTCTTCAAGGTTGGAATTTTTTCCAGCCAATTGGCACTGAAAACCGGAAATGAAGAAGTATCTATCAAACAAAAACACTGTGGAAACGTATAAACAACATCTGATCACACACACACACACACACACACACATTATGAGAATTATCGATATAAATAATATTATTGTAATAATTTAAACCATTTATTTTTATTAAAGTTTTTATGAAAGATAATATATCCAAGAACGGATAGTAAATAGTAAAACGTTGCTGAGAGTTATAATGGACAGAAAGTAGTGGAGAACCATTGTCGCCAACAATTTAGACTCAAAACCGGCACTGAAGAATTATCTATCAAACAAAAAAAAATCGAAATCGGATGAAAGCTGTGGAAACGCATGAACAACATCCGATCACACACACACACTTAAATGTACACACACATTTTGAAAATTTATATATATATATATATATATATATATATATATATATATATATATTCAATTGTATGGATATGAATTTGTAACCCTGGGTTTCACGCTTTTGCGATCATCAGAAAACTGATGATGTTGACTGCAAAAGCGTGAAACCCAGGGGGTTACAAACTCATATCCAGACAACTGAATATCTGAATATGTTAGCTTTGTAACTGATACTGAGTGATTTCCAATAACTACCGCGCATATATAATATATATAGAAAATATATATATATATATATATATATATATATATATATATATATATATATATTCCGCTCTTCAGCCACAGCTTGCTGTAGTGGCAAGACGTGTCTTTTTTCCCCTCTATTTTACTACACTCTCTCCTATCTGAACTCTTATGTAATATCAGTCCATCTTTATGTCAGTGAATGCTGGACATTTTTCTCACAAAGAAGAGACCTGAGACAACAGAAATGTGGTTCTACAGAAGGATGCTAAGAATACCATGAGCTGAACATGCAACGATGAAGCTTTAAGGAAAATGAAAACAAAAGAAGACACATACCCTGAATAAAAAACATTCAGTTGAAATTTCCAGGGCACATAATGAGGAAAGCGGGCTTGGAGAATTTGACATTCAGAGGGAAGATTGAAAGCAAGATGGACAGAGGAGAGCAACCTACAAAACGAGCTTGCGCAAATGGATGGCAGAACAGGGATTGAGTTGATGGAGGAAAAGAGAAATTTCACGAAAAGCTAGAAAGGATAGGAAGTTGGGAAGAACCATGATCAACTGCAACTTGGAGAAGTACCTCATATAGCAGAGAGAGAGAGAGAGAGAGAGAGAAGAGAGGGGGAATCATGAAAAACTACTAGATTTTAAGTAGAATCGATTACTTGTTATTTTAGATGTTATTTTGGATTTGTAGGTGAGAATTCTTCTAATAAAAAATTAGAAGACAAGAATTCAAAATCTTTTTTTTTTAAAGAATTAATAAAACAAAAATAAAATTATAGTGTTTTTATTCACCTGTTTTTTTCTGGCAAATAAATGATTTCGATTCAAAGCAGCGTCCAGGCATCCAAATATTAACTGTTTTTATGAAGGGATCCACATATGTACAGGTATCATTTTCTACACTCCTAGAAAGAAAAAATATCATAAAAGAAATTAAAAGTAATTTGATAATTCAAAATTAAATAATGCTGTAGTGAGTAGAATCCTCATTTTTAAGGTTCATCGTCTTCGATTGAACTAGGCGTGAATTTTTCTTTTACTTAGATAAATTAGTAAATCTGTGTCCTAATGTTGGTGAAAGCATTTATTTTATATAAAAAATATCCCTTTTATATTATAAACTCATTCCTTGTCAATGCACTTAATCCAAAGATTTCTATTAATCTCATACACCACACATTATAGAGCGAAAACTTCCGATCAAAATTCTGCTACTAAAAGCGCCAGATTGCAGATTTATTGATTCATTTTAACGAAGGATCACGCGCGGGCGCACACACACGCATATTTGATATATATACATACATATATATATATACATATACATACATATATATATGTATATATATACATATATATATATATATATATATATATACACACATATATATACATACATACATACATATATATATATATATATATATACATACATATGTATATATACATATACATTCATATACATACATACATACATGCAAAAATAATACTAAGCAGATATATATATATATATATATATATATATATATATATATATATATATATATATAGAAATTGTATGACAAAGTAGAAAAGTTTACTTGTGACACGTTTCGTCCTCCAGGACTTCACAGACTTTTGTTATAAATAAAAATTTTATCTAAATTATTACTAAATAACAAATTTAGTCTGAAGTCCTAAATATATATATATATATATATATATATATATATATATATATATATATAAAGTGGATATTGAAATTAACACCCAGAGGCGACAGTCTGTTTCATGCTTATACGCAATCGTCAGGCCACTTATATATATATTGATTGCAATGGATGAATTGTCGTCTAAATTACGCAAAGATGAAAATAACACTGACATATCATTCTGACATATATATTTACCAAAATTACACGAAAATATAGTGAAGAGAAAATTTATTCAATAAACTCACCATTGGCTTCAACGGCGGCCTCCACACGAAATAATGAGTGTTGTTTAATAAATGATGTCTACAATCTTAAGAGATTGTAGACATCATTTATTAAAGTTTTAGACCAGATAGAATAAAGAAACTGGTATCAAAATGAAGTCAATTTATTTCTCTTTAAAATTATGTGTTGTTTGATAAGTAATGTCTACAATCCTATAAAACAAGTTCTAGACCAAATAGAATAATGAAACTGGTATAAAACGAAGTCATTTTATTTCTCGTCAAAATTCCCACAGCTGATTGATAAGTAAGGTCTCTAATGCGAAAAGTAGGTTTTAAACCAGGTCGAATCATAAATAATAATTTTTGTATCAAGATGAAATCAATTTCTTTTCAAGATTACGAGGCTTGATTGATAAGTAAAGCTTGTAATCAAATAAAAAACTATTAAACCAGATAGAATAATGAAATTCATATCAAAATGAGTTAAATTGTATCTGTCTATATTTTTGAGATGAGGTATTATGTACACTATTTACATTATTCGGAATATTGTCCTCATCTTTGCTGCCATATTTATCACGACGTTTCGGCCGATGTACGCTCCGACCTTCTTCAGGTGGTTGGAATGTCGAACTGAATCCTTAAGAACACGTGGCAGAGTGGATAAAAGCGTTGGTTAATTTTTGCGTCATGTCCAGTGACATGTCGCAAAAATCTGTGAATTCAATACCTGGTTAAGGCAGTGGAGAAAGCGGAATTAATAGTAGATAACTGATAACTGACATCCATTATACATGGCACGTGGAACTAGAACAGTCTACGCCAGCGAGCGAAATAAAGGGTTCAGTTCGACATTCCAACCATCTGAAAAACAACGTACAACGTCCGAAACGTTGTGATAAATGTGGCAACAAAGATGAGGACAATAGTCCGAATAATGTAAATAGTGAGGTAAATTGTCTTGTAGGATTTGGAGACTTTTATCTTCAATCAGGCCTCGTGATCTTTATGCAACTCGGACTTAGTACTCATGACTAATGAACGCTGTTATTCAATTCCGTCACACCGACACTAACATCTTTATACACTAACGAATATATGTTCAAACGTCTATCTCCACTACTGGCGACGTTACCTAGTTAGAGAGCTTACTTGTTAATCAGGCCTCATGATTACAACAGCGTTTCAAGAGTAAACAATAATTAATTTTCACTTACTCATCTATCGCAGGATATCGACCCTCTTTCCAATAATGAAGAGTTACGGATTTTCCATCCGCCCATTTCCATTGGTAATTTTCATCGTCTGAAGAATCTTCCTGAATAAATCGTTAAAACAATAGTTTAACCTCAAAATAGTATTAAAAATCGACATGAGAAATCGAATTCTCAAACGACATTGCTGTGTGGCATGCAATTAACATAAAACATTCATTAAAAATAAACTGTTCATCATACTTTTAAAAGCTTAAAAAACTGTGCATCATATCTTTAAAAATTTGTTGGCAAAGTTTAGCATATGTATTCAGCAAAATTATTTTGACACCGCTATTACTTCGTACTTGGTATGACGATAAACTACATTCGGCAGCAAGGCCTTTGATTGAGAGATTTTGAGGATCGTGGAGCCACCTCTTAATTGCTGTTGTTCCCAGGTCCACCCTGATCCGGGGTGGTAGCACCTGTTAGCACTGTAGGCAAATAGTGAACCTCCAAATTGGGGTCATAACATTATAAAGGTATAAAAATGCATTTTTGTAGTAAGAATAACAGCAATAATTTTCATAGTAAAACCATTAGCAGCAATACATTCTTGGAGAAGGAAGAGAAAATTACCAGCAATACAGCTTTAAAAAAAAAATTACCAAAGCTAGCAAATAAAAAATTAAATTTTACCACTACATTGCCCATAAGGAGTTGATATGCCGTTAAAGAAACAAATCAAATCAAAACAGCCAAGAAAATTAAATTTCGCCATTCATTGGCTCATAAGGAGTCGATATCAAATGAAAACAAAACTCCCAAGAAAATTAAATGATCCATAAGAAGTTGATATGCCATATAAGACAATCAAATCAAATCCCAGCTCCCAATCAAATTAAATTTCGGCATTAAATGTCCCATAAGGGGTTGATTTGACAAATATAGCGTCTCCCCACATAGACACTATATATATATATATATATATATATATATCGTTTTAAAGTATGGTATATTTATGGTTAAAAGTGTTCAATACCAGAGAAAGAGCGTATGTAAACATAAAAGGTCAACACTGAGGTAAAGACCAAGCGGCAACAGTTTCTTCCATATTTCACTGCAATCTTCAGGCCTTATTTTATATATATATATATATATATATATATATATATATATATATATATATATATATATATATATATATATATATATATATATATATACACACACAAAGTGGAAAAAGCTATTATTAGCTGACATATTCGTTGGCCGAAGGACTTTATCAATGCAAATGTAGGATTTGTTTATATTTGCAAGTGTTTATATACACAAGCAAGGATGTCATTGGTTTATCAAGGCTTTTAAATTTGCGAACGTTCATGAATAGTGCTCTTTTTCTTTTGCCTCACCACACTTTGAAATATGACACTTTGTGCCCTCGACAAATCCTTGACTGATCTGTCAACCACCTGAATGGATTTATTGTTGTAAGCTGATGCTGTTTCCCCTATTTTCCATGATATTTTGGCGTGATATGCATTTTGTTTTTTAATTTTTTGTTTTTAATATAGAAAGTATTGTGCTGTTTGCGCATTTACTATTTGTAAAGGGTGTTTAGTGTACGTAGTGTCTTTGTTTCCAGGGTCCTTCAGTTACTCCTATGTATATTTTTTCTTCATCTACTGATTCTACAGTGGTTTGGTATTTTAAAACCATTTTACAGTGGTTTGGAACATTGTTCTGCACGTGGTCGAGTCGTTGGAACGTTCGCATTCTGACCATGAGACCCGGGTGCGAATCTTACCACGGTCGATTTGTCAGGAAGGAGACTTCCTGATGTTATCGGACTGGAGGGGTCGATCCCAGCGTGTGGCACCTTTGGAAAGTGCCTGAAAATCATACCCACGCCTTGTGAGTGAAATTGAATAGACAGAACCCTTGGATGCCGTCACAAGGGCTTGAGCGTGCTGACCTTGTTCAAATTGTTGATTATGTTAGATAACACCCTCTTTCCCAGAAACTGTAACTAAGGTCTGCTCAGCATAGTTGCAGTATAAACCACAGGTGGGCTCTGTGGGTGTTGACTAAGTACAAACCGGCTTGAGCAATCGGGATTGGCTAGCCGCCCCTAGTAGACGGGTATCCTCGAATACGCGTGGCTCGCTATACATACATATATTTCATTAATAATTTCGATGAGATAACAATGATTCTTCCACATGCAAGTGCTCCTATTTAACCCATAGCTGGGGAAACAGAGATGGTTTCATACCTTTGGCACGTAATGAATGTAACGAACGTGACTGGAATTCGAAATCGGTTCTCCGTTTTTATTAGCCCGAAACTCTATTTAGAACACCAGCCACATATCTTTTTTTTTAAACAAAATTTTCTAAATTTGGCTAGTAACTTTAATGCTACGGAGCAAGGATAGCATTTTAAAGTTTGATGACCGCTGATGTCAAAATAAAAAAAAAATTAAATGAACTTTGTTTCAATGAATTAATAAATTTTTAATAGCAAGAAAATATTTTACGAGAGATTTTTTTTTAAAATGGGGATTAAAATCCTACTTACATTTTTGATATAGCGAAGGCCGAGCCACAACGGCTTCTTATTCAACAGAGAAACGTCATTGACATAAAACTGAGCTCTTCTGTCTTGTACAGTTACCAACTGACTGTCTTCTTCTTCACACACACGTCTATATCAAGGAAAAAACAAAAATCACAGACTTTAGATAAGCATCAAGACGTATAACAAAAAGAATCATATGAATATACTGTAGAGAGAGACAAAAAGCTATCTCTCCTTGACCCCCAAAAAGAAAAAAAAAATTAGCAATAAAAATTAATTATGAATGTTCATTAGAATAAAAAAAACAGTCACATGACCTGACGAGACCCGCACGAGACATCGTTAGGCGAGAAAGTCAATCTTATTGGTTTTGCTCCTGGAAGTTACTGCAATAAGACGCACATTTCAGTCTCGTGTCTAACCAACCAGATAAGTACAAAATTTATATTGTTTTAGGTACCCAGTCTTTTGCAAGTAGAAACAAAATAGCTATTTTTGTAGTGATTTTATAACATATTTATGTTATAATTTTCGAATAAATTATATTTGCTCTACTCTGTATTGAGCACTTTTTAAGAATAGTATTTTATGGTTATTGGAATTCATTCCGCATACACCAATCCTATACTTGTATATATATATATATATATATATATAAATATATATATATATATATATATATATAAACTTATATATTCTTGGAAAGAAAGTCAATATCAGTGATAGAGCTAACATATTTAGTTGCGTTGATTTGAGTTTGTAACCCTGGGTTTCACATTTTTGTGATCTTCTCGAGTTTGACTGACGATCGCAAAAGGCGCGAAACCCAGGGTCACAAATTCACATCAACACAACTATATATATACACTCGACTCTCCCGTCGAATTCGACGTATGAGGGTCAAGTAAATCAGTTCCTGGGAACCAACTACCCGACACCAGCACATGAGATTTGATTATAGTGGTGAAGATTTTATGCAGAACCATCAACACTTTTTGAAGGGCCGAATACAGAGACCTGGTGCACCATGTGCCACAAGCTCCCCAAAAGACCCTTGTTCTTCCCTAGACCAATTGCCATCCAAGGCTATTGAACTTTTATGTAAATTCTTTTCATAACGTCTGATAAGTTTAATAACATTATCAATGAACGAAGAAAGAAATTCACAATATTGATCCATATTTTTTAATACAATCTAAGCTTTCGGCTTACATAAGCCATTATCAAAGCTTAGATTGTATTAAAAAATATGGATCAATATTGTGAATTTCTTTCTTCGTTCAATGATAATGTTATTAAACTTATAAAAATAAATAGACAACACTTGTCTATATTATTTAATGAAACGTGTATGAATGAAACATACTGCCTAAATACACACACAATATATATATATATATATATATATATATATATATATATATATTTATATATCTTATATATATATTATTCATTTATTAATCCATTTATTAATCCGACATATTTTAATTTATTGTTTAAACGTTATTTTTTAATGGATACTTATATTTGAATAAGTGCTCAGTTTTTATTTATTGAACAGTATATCTATTTATTTCCATTTACTGATCTGAATATTCGAGAAATCTTATTAGAAAATACGTTCTTTTTCTAATAAGATTTCTCTATTATTCAGTTATTACTGCAGAAGCAAACAAACATTGAATTTTGATTCAGTTTTGAAGTTTTAAATATATGATTGAATTTTTTTGAAATTTTTATGAAAATTTTATCATCAATATTTCTTTTCTGTTTACATACTAAAAATCTGCTAAACAATTTAACAGATCAAACGAAAGGTTTGGCAAACAAAACAGCAGTTCTTTTTAATATGCAAACTCCAGATTTTGATTTAGGGCATATTTTCAATTTCAGCAGATATTTCTCTCCAAATAATTTTAAACCGATTTTAATTCTCGATGGAATTAAATCTAAAACATTTAAAATTGGAAGAATTACCCTTTTTAATAAATAAATTAAGTCATTATTGCAATTGGAGCAGAACACGTTCTTAAATTTCAATAATTAATTGACATATATTTTAAAAGCTGGTGTATTAGATAAAAACCCACATACATACATATTTTTTCTAATTTTCGAAAAGTTTTTTGTACATTGAAATGAAAACATAAACTGCCCAAAGTTCATATGAAAACATAAACTGCCAAAAATTCATATTTTGTTCTATTTTTGTTCAAATATTTTCGACCATGTCAGTCATTCTCAAGAACTATGTCACTATAAAATAATATAAATAATGTGTACAAAATATTTAATATGTATATAAAATAATAATAATATTAATAACAATGTCGATAATTATTTCATACGTTCATTTGCAAACTGTTTTACATATGACATCACTTATACGATACACGTAATGTTCCCTAAAAATTCCCGGATGTAGCCAACAAAATCTTGTCTACAATACTGACAACACCCAGTTCTTGATAATGACTGACACAGCGGTTGTAGTTGTACAAAATCAGAACAATAACAATAGAATAAGATGATGCACATCAGAATCAAAATTGTGGGCAAACTATCCACCATTCATGTTATATATATATATATATATATATATATATATACGTCGGCATTGAAGTCAACACCCAGAGGTAACAGTAAAAATTTGTTTTCGTGTCTGCATTTTTACTACGTTAGTTAAAAATTACTACGTTGCTTAAAAATTGTAAACTGAAAACGAATAAAAATAAATGAATATAAATTAAAAATTAAATAAAATAAACAAAAAACAGTAAGATAAATGAATTCAAACAAATAACTAAGTCGATAAACTAAGTAAATAATAAACAAATTAACAAACCACATAAGCAGAGATGAACACAATGAAACGTACTAATAACAACGAACAATAAAATAATCAATAATAAATAAAAATGTTAATTAACAACGCTATTGTTAGTTTCAAACTCTGCTAAGAATGACTGCAAAACACTTGCCCTCCCCAATTTATAGGCAAAAACAAATTCAGGTTGAGGTTTATTCCTAACCAATGAAATAGACAGGTTCGCGGTTTCACCTGACTCAGTCCCGATCTGTCTTGTCTTGAAGTCAGAACGCTGCGTTCACTTGACTCCAAATCTTAGTTTGTGGACGTTTTGCCATATTACTGTTACTTTGCCTTATTACTGTTGATTTGCCTTACATATATTGTTTGCTTGCTTTATATTATCCTTTGCCCAGTTCCTTTCTTTTCTTTTTCTTGTTATTGCTTATTGCAAACTTTGTCAATCCTCTTTGTTGGATAGTTGTTACTTATTTTGTATTTGACTATGGTTACTCATTCCAAAACTATAAATAGCACCAAAACTGCATTCAGATCCATAATTATTTCCACTCAACAGACCCTAGAATAATTCAAATCATTTACTACCCACCAAAATAACCACTGGAATAATACAATAGACTATCAATAATGCAATACAACAGACTATCCACAATGCATCTAAGGATACTCGCTAATAAATTACGTTTTACCAGAAATGGTTTAAAAAGAAATGCAACTTCAATTTAATTAAATGTTATTCATAATCAAAATTGATCACCTTCAGTGTCGACGACTACAGCTCAGTGGGAAGGCAAATTTAGTTTCTGATTACATGTTTAAAGAAATCTGTGCTTTCGGGGGTTTTGTTTCGAAAACATATTTGGAAATTGTTATGGCAGGGAATGCTGGGAAATCTCCTCAAAGATAAAGAAGAGACTTGAAGCAACAGAAATGTGGTTCTGCAGAAGGATGCTGAGGATACCATGAACCGATCATGTGAGCAACGAGGAAGTTTTAGAGAAAATGTAAGCAAAAAGGAAACTTATACTTAGAATCAGAGACAGAATGCCGAAATTTCTAGAGCATATAATGAGAAAAGGGGACTAGGAAAATCTGATACTCACAGGGACAGATTGACGTCAAGAAAAACAAAGGAAAACAATAAACTATTTAATAAGCTTGAGTACATGGATGACGGAATAAGATTTAGGGGAAATAACAAAATGACACATTTTTTTAAGAGATACGAAATACTGGAAATTGTGGAGAGTCATGATCGTCTCCGTCCTGAAGGGATACGGCAAATAAAGTAGAAGAATGATCTGCTACTTATGAAATGTTCAAGTGATTGAAACAAATGAAAATCTGTTGGTGTTAAATCTGATGAGTATGGAGGAAGTGAAAGAACCGCACATCCTAAGGATTTTAATTATTTCTTAGGTTTGTTTTTCAGAGTTGTGTACCCTTGCATTGACAATATGAATAACACTTTCGCTGTGTATCAAAGAAATTTTTTTTTATATCAGGGGTCAGCAAACTTTTTTCACAGAGTGCCAAATAAATGAGAGAATGACGAACGCGGGCCGGATAACCATTTTGTTCAATACAATACACTGAATACACAAAAATAAAGACAACAAACATATTTATTTACCAAATGGTTATCAAAGAAGGCGACATTAGTAATAAAATAGTTATATCCCATCCGGTTCTCACATATCCGAATCTCATAAGCTAAACAGCAAAAAAGTTAATGAGATTTGTTAAACTGGCGTTTACCTGTTGAAACTAATGAATATTTGCTTTCGAATTGCTGCATCCAACCAAGAGAATTGCTTTCAAATCTCTGTCAGTCAACCTTGTTCGGTGTGCTGACTTTACTGACTTCATTTTTGAAAATGTTTGCTCACAAAACTAATTCCATATCAAAGGCAAATTTCTTTAACTTTGAAAACTAATTATTAGGTAAGCAGAGATAAAATTCAAGAAGTTTTCCTTCCCTGTGCTTCTCTATTTCAACAAGTCACTTGCTTGCAAATCAATGAATCCCAATTGTAGTTCAACTGGCATATCATCAAGATTACAATCAAATGGTTTTGGAACAGAAGAATGTCACTCCCAATTCTCTCGAGATCTGAAAATCTCTCTAAAAATGTTTAAGCCATGAATAATCTTTAGAAACTCGAGGTTGCCATCTTCTGCGATTGCAGGGTAAAATTCTTTGAAACACTGAAAATAAGAGAAATTTCTTCCTTCCAGTTCACTGATGTTCCTTAAACTTATATCGCTATCAGATGCAAAAATTACATTTGACAAATTTTGGCATTTTTACTTACATTTATTTCAAGTTATTCTCCATAGTACGTTTAACTACAATAATTCCATATAAACAATTATATTTTAGCTCATTTATGGCACAGTGTGGCAGCGGGCCGGGTGAACTGATATCACGGACCGGACCTGGCCCGCGGGCTGTAGTTTGGTGACCCCTGTTTTATGTAATACCTCTTTTGCCATATCAAGTTACTGGCAATAAATATCTGTGTTGATGGTCCTTCCATGTTCTGGTAGCTCGCTGTGGATGGCATCATTTTATATTCCACCAAACACAAAACGCAAAGAATTCTGTGTATGAAGTCCTGATTTTGGTATTAGCACTGATTTCTTATTTTGTGATAACCACTTTCTTTTTTTTTCGCCTTCTGTTGACATGTAGAACCAATTTTTCATCATCTGTAACAATGAATTGCAAAAAAAAAATAGAGGTTGCCATTCTTGGTTAAAAACTGCTGCAGATGTTGGAACATTCAGTTCAGTTCTTAAGGAAAAATTATTGAGAAACCTAAATTCCCTGTTCGCAAATTTTCGAAAATCGTTTGGGATGTTCGTGTGCAGTTGAACACTTCTATGTGCACTATCCATTCAGGACGTGGAAGAACATGGCCCTCCTTAATTTCCTATTCATTGCAGCTTTTAGTAATGTTTAATATTCACCACCACTCCCTGCTGTCTCCCTTTGTTCTTCTTGCCTTGGATATTTTCTGTGAGTGTCAAATTCTTCAAGACACATTTTCTCATTATGAGTCCGAAAAATATCAAATGTCCTTTTCTGATTCTATGTATAAGTATACTTTTCATTTTCATTTTCCTTACAACTTCCTCATTACTCACATGTTTAGTCAAAGGTAGCCTTCTATAGAACCAAATTACTGTTGCCACAAACCCCTTCTTCAACTGTAAGGAGATTGTCCAGCATTAACTAAAACAGAGAATGACAGATATTATATAACAGTTTAGCAGTCTTTGTTTCGAACGATTTTTCCTTATTTTCTTAATACTTTGCTTAGCTTTTGGAAGGCGTCTTTCGCTATTGCAAAACGCCTTCGGATTTCGGTGTCACATTTTCCGTCCTGTGATAAAATACTTCTTAGAGATTTAAATTTTCGTACTTGCTTGGTTTTGGCATCTATAATTCATAGTTCGAATCTGTTTCTTCTTGCTGACAACCAGACATTCTGTCTTATTACAATTGAGGTTTAGTCCTTTCTTCTTGCTTTCTTTTACTACCTTCTGTAGGAGTTCTTGCAATTTCTTTTCTGTGTTTGCAATGAACACTGTATATCTTATATTTTATCTGCATATCTTATGTTGTTAGTTTGTGACCGTCGATAATAAATCCTGGTAGGACATCTACGTCTCCTCAGTAGAGAATTTTAATCACATTGATTGAACATTATAACCGAAAATTCCAGATAGAAATTCAGTTCATACCTGCATGTGAAGCTACAAACTTACAGATCAATCCGCAACATTATCATATATATATATTATATATATATATATATATATATATAAATATATATATAATCGGACTCTCCTGTCGCGTTCGACGTATGAGGTCAGGCCGATAAGTCCCAGGAAACCGACATCCTGACACCGGCACATGAGATTTGATTATAGTGGTGAAAGCCTCGTGCAGGACCAGCCACACTTTTTGGAGGGACGAATACAGAAACCTGGTGCACTGAATGCATGCCACAAGGTTCCCAAACGACCTCCGCAGGTTTTAAATTCAGAGTTGTCCTTCTCCTAGACCAGTTGCCATCCAAGGCTATAGAACCCAGTCTGTCCTGCTTATTTTACCCATAGCTGGAGGAGATG